AGTCACATAATAGAACAAAAGGCAGAAAATAATAACAGGAGTTTGTTTCTGTGTGTATCTCACAGCAAATAATTGTGCACCATGCGGTGTATCTCACAGTGTCATTGGTGAATACCTTTTTGTCCAACTTGATTATATAGCTCTACATTCACTGAAACATCTACTTGTCTTTGGTGTGTGTCCATTATGTACTATATCTAGGTACTTGTATGTCATTTTGTATAGGTAGTGTGCTTTCACACTCGCATCTTCTGGTGTGTACATATGTATGTGCACGAACAGGGGAAAGGAGAGGTGAAATTACATAGCAGTGCCAGCAGGCAGGACACCGGCTCGAAGCACACTCATTTTCTCATCTCACACATTGGGCAACCTGCTGCTCCTCAGGAAACAAATAATGGCTTAGTCATAACTCCTCGCCAACACACCAAAGAGCTCCTCACTAGAAATAGCAGTGATTTTTTACCACTGAAAAACATGCCCACCTTCCTATACAATTTATGTCAGATTGCACAAAAAGGTCTACCAAAAGAGTGGAGGTGGGTTCAAATTAGCCCCCTCTCCTTCACTCTGCCATCCTATGTGGTTAGGCTGTTAGTGAAAGTGGACGCGTGGCACAAAATGATAAAGCACTGCACGGGTACCTGTGCTTATACAGTATGTAATGACAGCTTTTGGCAAATGCACAATAAATACCGTTAACAGCTTAGATTCCTTGATTTTATATATTACATATGTGTTATTCTGGGACTTGCCATTATTAAATTTACATAATTTTTATTAAGAAGCCTCTTTTTATTGCTGCTAAGCATTTTCTTAAGCCGTTAGAAGTGCTGGAGAATTTGCACAAATGGCAGTGTGAGCAGCTGACAAATCAAAGGCGAGTATATATCTTACCTCATTAAAAGGCCATTATGAAGACCAATGCATCATTTGGGTTCTTGGTTTTAATTGACATTTAAAATATATAAGTCAGTGCATCTATTAAGCAAATTGATCAACAGAAGGCAGATTTTCCTGTTAGCTACAACCATGATAGAGGCTATTCATCATGCCATTTTAATAGCTTCTCTATTTTCCCTTTAGATGCACTGATTATGTCATTTTCCAGCAGTATAAAAAGTTTGTGTCTATCAAATATCTCTTAAGTTTTCAGACTTTTCTTTGGAAGTTGTTACACGAAAATAATTTAAATGTCTCATATGTTTATTCTAAACTGTTCAAACACATTTTATAACATTAAGCTGAATTTTTTATTGGTGTTTAGCAGCCGTGAAGAAGAACTTTGATGACATAACTAGAAGAAAAGTGGCAATAGATACAATCTTTGGAAATATGTGGCTAGAGTATTAGAAGAATCATCTTTGTATTTGGTTTACTCTCGGCTGACCTTGCATTCCAGTAAGTTAACTGGTCCTCAGCCATTTTTATGTGCCAGAACGTTGAGGGAGAACTTTGATGCTGTGATCCAAATGTGGTCCTGATCTGCTGAGCAGTGTTGAGGTGTACACGGTAGGTGCTGTGACAGGCTGAAAACCAGCTGTACGGTGCGTTGCTTCTGCATGTGTATCGTACTGCAGGTTACAGATAGAACTGCTCACACTTTTTTATTTATTGCATGGTTCTGCGTGCATATTCACTCCATTGCTAACATTACCTGAAAAACTAAGAAAATGCAACAACAATGGCGTGCTTACTCGCTAGCCACCCACCACTCCACGTATTACTGTCCTGGCATGAAGTCGTACTTTACTACCTGCGTTTGTTTGTGGTGATTGAGCGATTATACGTTTAGATGTGTGCACATGTATGTACATCTGTCAGTGTGGTGCATCTTCTGCCAATCCGTGCAAATTCCAGGCAGCCAGGCAGTTTGCCGGCAGCTCCCTGCTGTTAGCTGCTCCTTAGCAAGCTGGAAACGGTGGGTGGAATCCCCTCCTGGAGATTTTCTGATGCTGCAGGCAGATGTCTCCCTCTGTTTACCCTCCTTTCCTTGTTCACCTGGGGAAAGATGCCAGCCAGTGAGCCTCGTTCCCACCCTCTTCCTTCCGGCCCCAGAGGCCCTTAACCTTGCCAAAGAAGGAGTGAAGACGCAAGTGGGGGCGGGAGGATATGCCAACACCAGCCTGAGCTCGTATACAACATACACACCCAATTAAAATGCAAACACACGCAAATATCATTTACATATAGTAGCAGCTGCTGAAAACCACAGTCTTCAGAGGTGTAATCAAAGTAAATATAGTGGTGGGTTTGTTGTAAAAGTGTCATCTATTACTCACTCACATGTGTGCTTACCCATATTTCCATACCAACTTGTGCACACACGCATGCATGCGCACCTCCCACACTGTGACTACCCCCCCCCCCCTCGCAGCAGTAGCATCCATGCTTGCCAGTTTGGCCCCATTTGTCTGACTGGATGACTCAAACAGCCGGCCCATCTCAATGGCGCTGCACAAGTGCTCTTTGCCAGAACCTTCTGGTGGCTGTGCTTGTCGAACCTCAACATTTCTTGTTGAAGATGAAGAAGAGGGGTGAGGAAGGTGCTGGGAAAGTGAGCGAGAGAGGTAGCAAACACCAAAGAAGAGTGATCTCCGTAGCAGGCACTTAACTGTACCCATCTGGAATTTCACTGTAAATTCAATTGATGCACATATGAGCAGTCGTTATTAGAGACACTACTGGGTTATTTAGAATACAGTTTATGGGCAATTTTGCTATGCTTTATTTTAATTCATTCAGTTAATTACTTTTGCCAAATGTTCTCTTTCACTTCATTATACATAGTCTCTTGTGTACAATATTTAATAAAACATTAGAAGCCCCAGAAATAATTTCCCAGCTATGCTTAATTTTCTTAACTTGCCACCTGATGTCAGCTGAGAGTCAGAGAGGAAGAAGAGAGCGAGAAGAGGATGGTTAGTTATAAATAGCAGTAGTCTCCCCAGGATGGCAGGTTTTTAATTAACAATAGAGTGTCTGATAATCCACAGTTAATCCAGAGGAGAAGAGGGAGGAGAGGGGAGAAGAAGAGAAAATCATCAGCTGTTTGATGTTAGGACTACAAGTCCCTCCTGGCCCTTACACTGCTTGCTTCTGAGCTGTTCTGCGCCGTGATATCCATAGCCCAAATGTATTTATTTTGTGAAACAGCCATGCTCCATATTTTGTGATTCACTTTGTCTCTGACTAACCGCTGTCTGTTCCCATTAGCATGAATATGTGCATGCCGCTCTTCTTAAACTGCCTGGGATTCTTTGCGCTTGTGTGTGGCGTTAGTGGATGGGGGCTGTTTGTGGAAAACTAGCCGACTGAACGCCCCGACGGCTAGAGGCGTCCGCTTAAAGTCTAAGCGCGTTGAAAGGCTTGATCTGTTGGGGAAACACTGGGAGATGTCAGGCCCGCTTCACTCTCAAAGGGAGTCTGCTGTCTAAGACACTTTGAGCTTGGAGGGAAGTGGGGGTGGTATTTTTCCTCTCGTTTTGCACAGCTGAAAAGACAGTAACAAATATGTTGTTTGTACCTTCTATGATACTTTATTTGCTTAGGCTGAGTTTCGCTGTCATAATTCAGAGAGAATTTGAGTAACATTTATCGCATTATATTTTAGGCATTCACTAGTTGACACATATATTTTGAGTAACTTCAACTGGATGCTCCGGCGCCTTAAATTCCCTCGAGCTCAAGAACACAAGTACAATAAAAAATAATAATGAGAAGTGCAACAATAAGAGCGTAACACACCAAGTAAGGCTGTTCAGGCATGAAGTAACACATAGGTTCTTTCTTGTTTGTTTATGTGCATTATTACACCATAATTAACTAGCAGTTTTTGGGGGGTATTCAATGTGTTTATTATGCCTTTATTTTCATATAGAGAGACCTGGAAAGACAATGTCTCACTCATTAAATGTTTTAGAGCACAAATCTGAACAGCCGTGGCAACAAAGCAGCCTTCACATGACAAAAAAAGTCACATCAAAACTCGCGGTGCTCCAGGCAGGAGTCGCTTTGATCTTGTCGGCAGTAACGACGGCACATGTATGTTGTGAAGGATTTTCCAGGCACACATGCACGTTGTCTCAGGTTAGCAGGCGGCTTGTTCCAAAGAAAAGCACCACAATAATTGGGTGTTGTGGTAAGGCTGTTTTTTTAATGCACAATCAAAATAAAGTTAATTTTTAAAACAACTTTGTTTCTAAAAAAAAAACCAACCAAACAAACAAAAAAAACAAAACCCTAAATTTTAAAAATTAAACAGTTACGGGTCATTTAACCCCTTTTAATTAATTTGTCAGTTTGGGCAACTGTGTTGACATCACTTCTACCTTTCTCAGATGCTGAGGCCTGTTTATTTGTTATTTAATTTTTGTATTTAACCTTTATTTAACCAGGAAGATCCCATTGAGATTAAAAACCTCTTTTTCAAGGTAGACCTGGCCAAGATAGGCAGCAGCAAGTGCCTCGCAGTTACAAAAATTACTCAATTAAATACAGGCAGCAGCAACACACATGCAAAAATAAATGAAAAATACAAAATAAAATTCTGTTAAAATGACAAACAATCTAATTGAAACAGTTGCATGTTATGGACTTGGCCTCAAGGATTCTTAGTTTAATTTTAAAAGCACTTAATGAAATGAATTCTGTCATTTTCCAGTCGTTCTGCAGTTCGTTCCAAGCCGAAGGTGCTAAATGGACAAAAGCTCTTTTGCCAAATTCAGTTCAGGCAAATGGAACAGAAAATAACAAGTAACCTTGCGGTCGAAGAGGATAATGACCAGCATGTTTCACTGCAAGCAGGGAACATATATAGGAAGGCAGCAATCCAAGTATTGCCTTATATATAAAACTGTATAGCACCTGAACTCATATCATTAGTATGACCATCCTGCAGTTTGGCATTGTCTTGCTGAAAAGGCAAGGCCTTACCTGAAACATAAACACCTGGATTGTGAACACATTTTAAAATGCTTCCTTTCTTTTTGGCATTTCAGGACAGAGTCTGGGCTACGGTTTTGTCAACTACATTGATCCAAAGGATGCAGAGAAAGCCATCAACACGTTAAATGGACTCAGACTTCAGACCAAAACAATCAAGGTAAATCACACCGTGCATGCCTATGACGCAGTCTGTTACATAACGACCAGACAAGCAATTAAAGTAAGAAAAGTGTTCTTTGGACAAAAAGATTTCAGTAATTTAAAGTTGTGGAGGTCGTGTTAAACTTAAATTATAAGACTTCCTTCTAATTTCTGAGAGCCCTTTTAGATAGTGATGCTGTTAGCGGATGTGCTGGAGGGTGAGATGGGATTAACATCAATGAGCGTCAGAAATGAAAAAGACCATCTAAATCAAAGAGACACATTAAAAAAAAGCTTGTGACTATGGTTGATATGCTAATTGCTTTTTAAATGTCAGAATGTAAAGGTGAAATTATAGTTATCTCTGAATAAAAAGGAAGAAACACATCAATCATCATATTGTCCAAAATAATTGAGGGCTCTGTTATTGCATTCTAAATGGCAAGACTAATCTGCAGGCTCGATGGTGGTTGTCACAGCAGTAATATCAGCCTCAGTACTGCGCTGTCCTTCCTCCAAACACATTTTAAAGAACCCTCACAAGTAATAGTTTGAGCAGATGTTTTACAGTGTATCAATCCTCCTGTTAATCTAATTTTCTCCCCTCGTATTCTCTGCTGTCATCCTCTGTGCTCTGTGCCTGCTGATATGTTGTTTTAAGCTGGGCCGTAATCTGTTGCTCTGTGGTAATCCCTGGATTCTTTCTTTCTGTCATCCGATCTAATCTAGTCTAATCTAATCTAATAGGATGGGATTAGCCTGTTTGCAAATAGGGAATCCCACGGGGAATCCCTCCATTCCCTGGACAGCATAAACTGTCTGGCTTGGTATCGAATTTAAAAAATAAGAGCCTCATATATATTTTGTGCGTGATGTCTAAAATGTGGATTTTATAGAGTAAATGTGTTGTATTAGTGAATATATATGTAAAGATGAGATGTTTACTAGGGGTGCAACGATACACAAAATTCACGGTTCGATACTTTGGTGTCACGGTTCGATATTTTTTCGATACAAAAAAATGTTCATGCCTTTTTAATTTGTCATTTATTAAAATTATAAATATATATTTTAACTCAAAAGTACAGTTTTTAAATTTAACCCTAACCCTTGTGCGTGTTTTTTATTTTGACAGCGAATGCGCACCTGCGGACCACTTATGTGCAGCCCTGGTCAGCCACAGAAATTATTTTGTCCATGAAACCATAAAGCTACACTTTCTTTTTGCCTTATAGTCTGATTTGTCATAACTTCTCAGTTTTGTGGTAAGCTTTTCTTTGGCTGTCACTTCTTCACCCTGACCTGTCTTATTTGGCTCAGCAGAAGTAAAATATATATCCTGCTGCTTTTACACACGCACTCACATAAGCTCAGCGATTCTCTGCGCGATCAACCTCTCACATGTTTAAGCTGCGGGAGATTTCACTTGTCATGTTTGCATAGTAAGCTAACTAGCTAGCGATTTTGCGAGCTCTGTATCTGATTGAGGAATCACTCATCTTTGGAAAAGAGAGTTTATTACAGAGAAATGTCTCTTACCAAAATAAAAGCTATACTATCCGCTTCTTCTGGGCTATATTCTCAGCAGCATAAGGAGAATCATGTGCTAACAGCTGTCTAAATGACTCGGCTAAAGTTAGTAGCATGCTTGTTGTTTTTGTCTTTGCACTAGGATGATGTCGGCGTAAATGTGCAGTCATATTCGTTGTGTTCCCACTAGTGCTTTCAGGTTAATCTCGTTGAAATGACCTTAACGCCACAACACGGCAAATCTCCGTTAACGAGCTACCGCCGATCGCCCCGTGCATGGGGCTAGACGGCCAACACGTTAACGAGCTAACTGCGCTAACACACTAGTTCCCACCCATGTAATTGAGCATTGCATGGCACATCCAACATACTGTTTTACTTTAGTCCATGACTCGCTTACCTTCAGGGGCATACGTCACATGAAAACCAAAATAATTCCAAACGCCAGATCTGAATGAGAGTGGGGGAGGTCCATGTTGCAAGGAGAGCTTAACTTCTGTCTTGCTAGCTTGCCCTGCGCTCTTCCTTCTGACTATGCTGTCTGTGTTGAGCGCTCAGTGGATCTGCGCTCGACAGTGCAGCCTAGGCGGAGTAGTCGAACGCAGATTCACTGAGCGCTCAACACAGACAGCATCGTCAGAAGGAAAGTTGATAAAATAAATTACAAATGTTGTATTGTTCGATACATATGCGTACCGAACCGAAAGCACTGTATCGAACGGTTCAATATCGATACGAATATTGTTGCACCTCTAATGTTTACGGGTTGATGTGTCCACGTCTGTATTTTTGCGTGTGTTCCACATGAGCTGCGCTCGTAGCAGGGCTTTCGGAGAGACATGACTACCTAAAAACCAGAGTGCAAGCTTGTGTGTGCGACTGCACAAATCCCCATCAGAGGAGCACCGCCCTTCAAAGTGGCTTTCACTATCAGCTAGTCCAAACAGTTGTTACTTTATTGTAAATCCCTTATTTCTTTCACTTTTTTCCTCCCTAGCTTTGTTGCGTATTAGCTCTTTTTAAGGTTCCTCCAGCGCTGTTTTGTAAAAGTAGTAATAAATATTCAAATCATTTGTTAAGTAAGAGGATCTTTAAAGACTTTTAAAGATTTTTAAAAGGAATTTGCATGCCTTTTAAAAAATGCATGTATATACCATCTTGTGTCTACGATTTACAAGACGAACTGATGAATCAAGTTACAGTTTGCTAGTATTAAAAATACTGCAAGCTGAATATTGTGTTTTCACAACATTCATAATATTCTCATAGATAGAGGCTTTTTTTTCCAAATTGAGAAATGCAGTTATACAATAGAACATCGAGAAAAGCTGAAAATATATAATATGATTTTGATTATTAATACTGCAACAGACAGTTTGCCAGGTAGACTCATGAACCACAGTCGTGCATTTGAATCTGACTAACGTGCCTGTTTGTTTATCAGAGATGCTTTTTGAATCTCACACAGTGCGTCGTGCTTTTAAGTAAAAACAAGCTTTTTCCCAATTTTAAAAAATGGGTAGAAGTTGAATTTTGTTTACACAGTGTGCATTTTGTGAAGTCTTTTATTATAGCAGTTTGAGTTCACAGATTTTCACTCTCACACTCTCACGACACAAGAGGTTGCCTCAAGTGGTTCGTGAGATAAAGGCGGCCTTCATAATGACAGAAGACAACCCTGCATCTCTGTCTAGCGCTATCTCTTTTTCACACTTCATTTCCTCCCTCCCACTACTCTCTTTCCCTGCTTTCTCTCTCCACAACAGACTGAAAAACCCTAAAGGTAACAAGGTAAATTAAAAGGCAGCGCGGTAATTCTAAAATTAAGTTTGTCGCTCTTTCATGTCACACCCTTCCCACTCTCTGCCACTACACTACTAAGGAAACGCTTGGCCCAGAGATTCACATGGTCTCGGGTGACATGTCTCTGCGAAGCGTCTTCGAGTTGGTTTCGCTGCCGCTGTTTCCTTCACCATGACACCTCAGATTTGTCAGCAATGGCTGCGACACAGCTTTCCTAGCGAGGTGTGAGGGGAAGCAGAAAGCCAAAGGTGAAAGGAGCTGACAGTGACATGCATGCACATAATCTGAGACACATTTATACTCACTTTAATCTTCACACTTACAGTTTTTCTAACTTTCTTGCACACGCGTACCCACTTCTGCGTCAGACACGCAGCGCACCACACTTGTACACAATACCGCTTACAGCTTGAGGAGGTGTTGATGGATAAGACATCTGGAGTTGGCTGACAAGGAGAGAAAATGAGGGAGAGCTGTACAGAGGAGAAAAAGAGGAGCAGAAAAAAGAGGCAGAATCTGGAAGAGAGAGAAAGAGGAAGGAAGCAGACTGAAAATATTCAGGCAGCGGAAAGGAGAGAGATGCAGACGGAGAGAGGAAGACAGAGGAGAGGCTAAAGACGAAGATGTGCGGCAGGTTTTTAAGAAGTGAGACACGGGGAAAGCCAGCTGTTCCCAATCTTATTCTCTCACTGTAAGAGTTCAGAAGGATTTCTGTGCTGTTGCTCAAGGATATGACTGCATATATCCACAATATTTGCCTGACTTTAACCTTATTTGATGACTTATGTCTCCACATGTCAGAGGTAATGAAAGTACTGCAAGGGAAAGCTGCTCTAGTCAGCAGCGGTAGTAATGGGATTTACACAACTTTCACCGCTGCGGGTCGACAAATGAAGATGGTGTTGAAGTTCACTGGTGGAGAACTTGTGGCGTGAGCTGCGCAGCACAGTTATTCAATTCCAGGAATTAGATATAACATTTACAAATAGCATCTTTAGGGAATGCTAATGCATTCACTAAAAAGTCTAATGAAAACTGATGCCTGCCACCAAAACATGTTGGCTCTAGCCTTTTTTATTCATTCATATTTTCACCCAGAACAGCATCAGCAGCGTGATTTTGTCTTGTAGTTATGTATTGGACAAAGTCAGAATCCTCTTCTCCTGGTTGCCTGAGCTGCCTTTTCAAAGTAAAACACCTGTGGTTTCTACTCTGGGGAGCAAAGTTTCCATCTCCTTCTGCAAAGACTGGGGGAGGCATGAAGTGTTATCTCTCCAGTGTTCTAAGCAGCTAAATCTTTTCCTAACAATGATAATCCCTAAGGCAAGGTGTACTCAGAAAACGCAGTCACATTTTCCTCCCTGTGGATCCAGTGATCCGCATCCTTGCCCATCCACAACACACGCACATAAAAGCCTCGCACCTCTAACGCTATAATCTTGTTTATGATTTTTATGCGTAATAAAGCAGCAAAGCTCTAATTTATTTATAAAAGCCTTTACACTGTGTTCTTTTCCCCAAAGGTGTCATATGCGCGACCCAGCTCAGCCTCCATCCGTGACGCTAACCTCTATGTGAGCGGCCTGCCCAAGACCATGACCCAGAAGGAGCTGGAGCAGCTCTTCTCCCAGTACGGACGCATCATCACCTCCCGTATCCTTGTCGACCAGGTCACAGGTATCCATGGGGCAGCACCTCCTCTCCCTTTCACTTTAACACCGAGGCACATGAACCCATTATAAATTGATACTCTCTTGTTTATGTGGAAGTTTACAGAATTTCCCCATTGCCTCGTCATTGCCTTCTCTATTTTTTAGCGAAAATAGCAACCGTTCGTGCTTTATTCTAAAAACATTTTTGTGTCACATTTCACTCGACAGTGTGACCAGATTCAGGAATACTGAAATAGCATAGCTCGATGTTTTTCATTATTTATTTCAGTCACCAGTGGACAAATCAAATAAAAGTCCTGTGGTTGCAGTTATGAGGTGCTGTGCAGTCAGTCTGCACCGTTCAGATAATAATGTAATTTCCAGAGGAAGCTTCATGCCATTTAAGCTGGTGTTGTCATGTTTTCCTGTGATTGGCACACCAGTGCAATGACAGCATTGATGTGATCACAGAGAGCATTTATTAATTTGCATTTTGCGCTTCTTTACGTTCATAAAAAAATGTTGTGCAGATACCCAAAACCCTTTTGGCCGTAGAAGTTGTGTAAGTAAAGAACTTGTGAAAGAGTCACAGAAATTGATCAAAATAAAGTCTTGAAAGAAGAATCTTTTTCTACAGCTGTTCCCAAACACGATGACACCTGTCATAACTTTTTTTTAATTCAGCAAATTCAACAAAAATTCCAACTACAGGACTTTATAAGATAATTTTTTAGTACAAGTGAAAAATGTTCTCATGCAGCTCAAATTAGTAAGAAACTGTTAATTAAAGTAATGTGAGTCATGTTATGCTGTGCAAATGTGCGAAAAATATTTTGATTTCGGTCGTACTTCCAGCTCTAGTGAGTAAGTGACCATAAGAGGTAATTTTTCTGCGTGTGACCCCTGCTTGGGATGCCACTGCGAAAATAGTAATTACATGAGGGCATGAATTGCATAGTCTCATGCTCAGTTACACATTCCACTACATCCAGAACGCAGGAATGAATCACATCACCCCATTGTATTGCAGAAGAACCCCTCCAGCATTTCTCTTAGATCCATTTCAGGATGTGTGTGTGTGTGTGCCTACGGGCTCCAACCTGCTCCAGTGTTATTTGCAATGTGTACTGATGAAGCAGAAAAGGAGCAGCATGCTGTAAGCCACACTCATTTGCCTAAGCAGAATAAATCACTGCTGGCAGTGAAGTCCACGCCTGTCTGTATGCACTGAGCACAGGAGGAGAGGGGAAAGCAGAGGAAGTGAACACAAAGGATGAGAGAAAAGGAGAATGAGAAAGTGCAGATGAGGATGGAGGAGGTAGAAAAAAAGAGGATGAGCAGAGACGGGGAAGGAAAAGGAATGTGAAGTGAGAGGGAGCAGAGAGAACACTATGAGGATGGAAACGGACCTTTAACGAAGTTAAAGGTGGAAGAGATACACCGCCTCATCCATAAACACTTAGATGATGGGGCAAATTTCTTGGCCATCTCTTAACTAACAGACCTGTCACACCACCGTCCAGCTTAAAGCCAGGGGAGTCCCTGTAAAACACCACACGGCTGCACAGCAAGGCGACATCTGCTTAGTAACAGCCAAATGTGTGTTTGCTCAGGACACATGCCATCGTTAAAACAACTCTCAGTGCATTCGCTGAAGGCTAGGTTCACAAGAGGCTAAATTAATTATTGTAATCACTCTTGTCTAGCACAGGATCAGTTTAAAAGTTGACCGCTTAGCATGTTCAAATGTAATGCTGCAACAGTCAAAAAGGAAAGTATAGCCTCTTTAAAATCTGAGGTTTTACATATCAGGGCATAATAAAACCCTGCAGTCATTAGCTGTACCTAAAATAAGATAAATACAACATCAGATTAACAACAAAATATGGGATATTACATTTAGTCATCTATTTAGTTAACAAAGACTAGATGTAATAGCAGAGTGAAAAACTAAGTCCACACTTAGAGGGTAAGTAACAGGCAGGTGCTGCTAATCAAATGCACTTGATTAATCTATCATCAGCAAGTGTGAGCACCTCTATAAAAGCAGCAGTTTGGGCAGTTTGCTGGTCTGGAGAAGGATGCCAAGAAGGAAACACATTAGCAATGATCTTAGAGAAGCGATTGTTGCTGACCATCTGCAAAGGGTTGTTAGAGCTTTTCCAAAACCAAAGTCAAACCAGCCAAAGTTCATCATTATAAAGTGAGAATAATTATTCATAAGTGGAAAACATTCAAGACAGTTGCCGATTTGTTCGGGTGTGGATGTTCCAGCAAATTCACACCAAGGTCAGGGCATGCAATGCTCTGCACAAACCCAAGAGCCACATCTCAGACTTTACAGACCTCAGTTAGCATGTTAAATGTTCAATGTCCATGGCAGTGAAATTTGAAAAGACTGAACAAGTATGGGTTGTTTGAAGTTGTTGGCGGGAGAAAGCATCTCCTCTCTAAAGACTGGAACAGGCCATCATTCTAACAGCTAAAGCTCAGCCAAAATTGAGTAATGCAACAGGGCAGTGATCCCCAAAACAAAAGGAAATCTGCACCAGAAAAAAGAATCAAGGTGTGCCAGTGGCGCAGATCTCACCTAGTGAGACCTGCACTAGGTCCCAGCCTGATTGAAATGCTGTGGCGGGACTTTTAAGAGAGCTGTGCATGAACAAATGCCTGCAAATAAGTTCTCAACAACAATGTGAGAGACTGAGAAGGGCATACAGAGAAGTATTATAAAACTTGAACCATGCTGCGTACTTTTTCTGCATTTTTGTTCAGCAATTAATGACACGGTGTAATATGTCATGTGTTTTTGTTCAGCTGAGGTTGTATTTGCCTAAGTCTCTAAGTCCTGATGAGATCTCGATGTTTTATTATGTCCTGTAAAGTTCGTTCTTTTTTTGCATGTTTGTTCAGTACAGTAGTTTGAGGAATATCCCATTCCTCTCTCCTGCACACAGTCCCTTTTTTCACACATTGGATGAAAAAATCTAATTAGACCCCAGACTGAATCTTTTTTTAATGATGCCTGGAAAACTGGCTGTTGCGTTTGACAGAAGGCGACGCTGACATCACTCGTCTGGAAAAGAATATCAGAGCTAATCGGACAATTTAAGGCAAACAAGCTATGCTTATCCGCATCGTGTACAAGATGAATATAGTACAGTAAATGAAGACTGGGAAAACAATTCTCACATGCACTCGTGTAAAAGTTATATTGGTCAGCACACACAGAGAGCAGGAGGTGGGTTTTTTTTAGTCTGTGAACACCCTCACTTACAATAATTGCTATCCTAACTACTGCCCTGGCCACCTGCCTCACAATTGAAATAGACACGTACTATATATGCACACACAGACACAAAGATTATGTGTGAGAGAGATGTTCTTCAAGGTGGCCCCAGAGGGTTAAGGATCAGCAGGAGAAATGTTAATGATTAATTAGATGTTAGAGTTGCTGGTGATTAAAAACATGGAGGACTTTAGAAGGGCCCTGAGACTAGTATGCTGGCATCATTGACTCATCTTTTTCTTCTCTCTGTTACTGTACAGGCATACGCATACACCCACCCACACACTCACTGCCATTAAAGAGAGAAATGGGCTGCAAATTAAAACTCTCCTGTGACTGCCAAAATGTAAGTACAGAACAAGAAAGAGGAGAGACTCAGAAAGGCAGCGAAGGAGCGAGAGGGATAGAGATTTGTGCTTGGTGTCAGACTGCTTTTTGGTTCAATGAGTGGATCGCTGTCCTGTTAGCCAGCCGCAGGATGTCCTGATGTCGGTTTTGTCACGGTGACACCTCAAAAAAAAGTCCTCAAAACTTTCGTCTTCCTGGCTTTAGGGGCATATTGATAGAGCGTCGTTATAGTGCAGCACCTTGAAGTCTCGGTGCAGGTCGACAGTGAATCATCAGCGTTTTTCTAAAATTCAATTCACTCAGTGATTCGCTCTTTCTGCTAAACCAGGGATGGATTTGAAACACACCCTTACCCTGCTGATGTAAACTGCATAGGCTTTATACAGGAGCAAATCAGAGAGATGCTGCATAGAGCTGCTGAAGTAACGAATGTTCTGCAGTGACCATCGGCAGATGGGCTGATGATCTCCAGCTCCTGCTCAGCTAAATTGGGAACATGAAGTCTGTTCTGTAAATGACCCTCCTCATCAACAGGATGCACCCTGCAGTCACTCTTCTGTTCTTGAAGACATGAAGGAACTTTAACACTGTTAGCATCATTCGTGGACAGAGATGGCTGAAGCAAAATTCACCAAAACTGGCAAATTGCCCCAAAGACTCAGGGCACGAACGCAACATTGACTCGACAAGGGTATCTCTCCATCTCTCCCCCTTCCTCTGTCTATCGATTTCTTCTGAATGGATAAGCATATTGTCTCTTTATCAGCCCGCATAGCGCCAGATTCCCCCTCCCACCTTTCTGTCTAACCTTCGGGGAAGGCGGTCAGGCCGTGATTTTATGTTCTGACAGCTGATTTGAGCTAGCCTCAAACACACCAATCTGAAACACATGCAATATCGGAGACCTCTTTGGTTCAATAGCTGGCTATTCTTAGGTCTTCATCTCATATGCACACAGAGGTCAATGCTTACCTGATCAATGACTGCAAATACAATTGATCCGGAGACACAGCTTTTTCAAATGACAGCCCTAATGTGAAACTAAATTGCTGCTCTTTGTGTGTAAGGACCGACTGTAAAAAGGCTGATGCCACATTTCCCTTTGTGTGGGATGGAAGGAGGTAATGGAGAAAAGATTCCCATGGTAACAAGTAGCAAGCATTAATTCTGTCATATAACTCGTGATGGGGATTGCCTGTGATGCTAATAGGTGCATCTTGCATGCACAATGAAATTATATGTAATATTTAGTGAAAGTTGCATGATAGGCAGCAAAAAGAAGCATTAAACTGAGAATGTATAAAAGCTTTTTTCGACAGGCAGCATCACAAATATGCAATGCTAGAGTTGAAATTAGGTTTATGGAGGTATTAAAAGTCTGACCACGT